ACGCCCAAGGCGAAGCGGTCAAAGTCTGGCTGTATTTCACAGCAAAAGATGCAAACTCAGCAGCCTGCAACAAGTGCTTTAAGCTGATACTGTGCAAAGGAGGTAACACCTCAAATCTGATGAAACACCTGGCGACGCTTAGCGGTTTTTTAAAAGCCGAGAAATTCACCGTATTTGATAGCTTGCTGCAAGACCTCACATCGAGCACATCTACTGCGGGTGTGGTGCCTGTTATCGGTCTTGGAGTTAGCAACATCCCCCCCAAAACCCGAAGAGTAGAGTCCTAGCCCCTAGCCCTGCCAGTGTAGCAGAAATGATGACGGATGATGATGGCAGCAACAGCCGTTCTTCTCTGGGTCAGTAGCTTAATGTTGTTCGTGTGTAATTTACGCTGAATAGGCTAACCACATTATTAAATTAACGCATGTAAGGTGAACTAGCAAACACCATCGTAGTTACATGCAGCTGTCTTCTTGTTTGATGGCAGATACTCCCTTCACCCTGGCCAAAAAGGCTAAAATGACCAGAGAAAAAGTGGGAAACAGCTAAACATGAGAGGTTTTTGGACAAAGTTGGTGTTTTTTTCCCCCTCATTGATTAAGCACTGCTTCCAGCCAAGAGTGATACCATAAATTCCCCTATAGCTGCAGAAAAGGCTAACATTGTTATCTTTTTAGAAAAAACAAACAAACAGCTAAACATGAGAGGTTTTTGGACAAAGTTTGTGTTTTCCATTCTTTAAGCACCGGTTCGAGCACCGTTTAAGCACTGGCACCATTTCTGGTATCGAATAAAACCTAAACGATACCCATCCCTACTCACAAGAGCAAAACAACAGAGCCATCTCTTCTGTCCTTAAAGTGTTTTGACTTTTTTTTTGGTCCTTAAAGAATATTTTGGATGGTAAAATATTCCAACTGGAATTTGGGAACATCAGAAAAAAACAGTACAACATGAGTCCAAGTTAGTAAAAGAAGCATGTCCTCATCTATCAGTGCTCTGTTATTCTCCAGTTTCCTTAAATCCAAGATTATATTTTGTAAGCTAAAACTTATAGAAATAGCCTCATAGAAATCAAATTTTTATTTTTTTATTTAACTAAAATATTAACATTTTATTCCAGCTCAAAGAGTTATTGTGGAAATACAATGGACTGGTATGTGATGAGTCAATCCGCTGTTCGATCCACTCACTTCAGTTCATGTTGTTCTCTTTTTACTTAATGCAACATCAGTGGCAGACAAGCTAGCATATAATGGAGGGGAAAAAGCTCCACAGATAACTTCTACTTGTATCTTTCCAATGTGGACTGGTACTTGGTACTGGTAAAGATTCATGGCTAAAATATGCATAGAACACAAATAAAAGAAAACCCTGTTACTGGGCCACCAGTAACAGTGACTCAATCTATAAACTGATGATCCCCCACCAAGTGACTCAACCAGCCTCCAAGCAAATCAGTCAAACAACACTCACTGGAATTGATCTACGGTGCAGTAGAGCAAAATTGATGTTTTTTCCTTGAATGCAAAACACATTTACACAGAACTTCCATACAAGTGAAGTATTATGCACAGTTTTAGGCAGGTGTGAAAAAAATGGTGGTAGACAAAGAATGGTTCCAGAAATATAATAATATTTTTTTTTAAATCAATATTTGGTGTTACTACCAGCATCGATTCCTATAGGTACACTTGCACAAAGTCAGGGATTTTGTAGGATCATAGTCAGAGGTATGATCAACCAATTATACCAAACAGGTGCTAATGATCATCAATGTCGCACGCAGGTTGAAACAGTCATTAACTGAAACAGAAGCAGCTGTGTCTGAGGCTTAAAACTGGGTGAGGAACAGCCTCTGCTACGAAGGTGAGGTGAAAGAGTTTCATTTCATGGCAAGAGTGAGCACATCAACAAGCACAAGGTAGTTTACTGCATCAGTAAGGTCTCTCCCAGACAAAGATTTCAAAGCAGACTGGGGTTTCAAGATGTTCTGTTCAAGCTCTTTTGAAGAAGCACAAAGAAACTGGCAACACTGAGGATCGTAGACGCAGTGGTTGGCCAAGGAAACTTAGTGCAGCAGATGAAAGAACATCAAGCTTGTTACCTTTCAAAATTAGATGTCGTCCAGTAGTGCCATCAGCTCAGAGCTGGCAGAAACCAGTGGGACCCAAGTACACTCAGCTATTGTCCGGAGAAGACTAGCCAGAAGTGGTCTTCATGGAAGAGCTACAACCAAAAAGCGATACCTCCGACGTGGAAACGAGGCCAAGCGACTCAAGTATGCACAAAAACATAGAAATTGGGGTACAGAAAAATGGCAGCAGGTGCTCTGGACTGATGAGTCAAAATTTGAAATATTTGGCAGTAGCACAAGGCAGTTTGTTCATCAAAGGGCTGGAAAGCGGTACCATAATGGTTGTGTGCAGGCAACAGTGAAGCATGGTGGAGGTTCCTTGAATGTTTGGGGCTGCATTCCTGCAAATGGAGTTGGAGATTCAGTCAGGATTAATGGTGTTCTCAATGCTGAGAAATATAGAAAGATACTCATCCATTACGCAATACCATCAGAGAGGCATACGATTGGGCCCAAATTTATTATATTATATACAGCCAAAGTCATTAAGAACTAGCTTCCACGTAAAGAAGAACAAGTAGTACTGGAAGTCGAGTGTGTCTGAGATTACATGAAGAGACAAAAGGATGTGAGGAAGCCTATGTCCACAGAAGATCTGTGGTTAGTTCTCCAAGATGTTTGGAACAACCTACCAGACGAGTTCCTTCAAAAACTGTGTGCAAGTGTGCCTAGAAGAATTGATGCCGTTTTGAAGGCAAAGGGTGGTCACACTAAATATTGATTTGATTCAGATTTCTCTTTTGTTTATTCACTCCATTTTGTTGCTTGATGAAAATAAATGATTAGCACTTCTGTTTTTGAAAGCATTCTTTGTTTACAGCATTTTTTCACACCTGCCAAAAACTTTTGCACAGTACTGTATACTTACACTCAAACCGAGGTGCAAAACCATTAGTTCTGCTGTACTGTTATTATCATCGTGGGGGTCAATGCATGTACAAAGCAAAACTGATTTTTAGTTAGGTCAACTGTCAAAAGTGAAGGAAAGGAAGCCAATTAACAACCAGCACACAGCAAAATGTACCCACCAGTTAGTGATCATGCCACTAGCAGGTCACCCCTCCTACAGTACTTAGGTCTGAACTGGCTGATTAAAAGAAAGAGGAAGCCTTTAAAAAGTGCTGGAATGAAGGACTGGACTCCTGCCACAGTGAATGTTTGCCGCGGCACCAGTTTCCACACAAACATCGCAAATATGCATGGTTCAGAGCGGATCGTTAGGCAGAAGCAAAAAACACACAGTTTCTTCTGTATGGAAAATATGTCCTTCCGTCTCTACTGTCGATTCTCAAATATACTCTAAAGATCTAACACATGTGTCTTTTAGATGTGTATGAGTAGCTTCTTAAAGCAACGGCCCCTGCAGCTATTCACATGAATGGAAGCAAGACAGAAATAAAAGCTCTTCAGACTTTACAGAGAATGCAAGTCATGTGGAAAGCAAGAGAAAGTGAAAGAAAGTAATGAAGAGAACAGGAAGAGAGAAAAAGGGGAATAAAGAATAAGAAACTAAGGAAGAAAGGAATGAATACATACCAATGTATATAATTTGTAATCGTGCAACACACTACTCTTTCTACTGACTCTCAAAGGTCTGTTTAATGACTCTCTGGCTTTCAGTGTTAATCCATTTCAACCCATGTGACCCCAAACCTCTGCAGATATATTGACCAGCAGCTGCAGAGGGACATCAATAAATAGAACAAAAGCAGGACCAAGAAGAAAAGAATCGGGTCCTAAAAAAGGCCATTTATATTTTACCAGGGAGTAACATGTTCAAGTAAGGAAGACCGTCATGATTTACGATGCACAGGTCACAAAGCCAAGTGTACATACAAAGGATGTTGTGGTTTTCCAGCCAGGAGTTCATGCACACTGTCCCAGAGCACTACCCCGATCTGTTTTATAACCTCAAGCAAGACCCACTTTAAATGTAATCTTCAGCCATATTAATCAATGATTCATCAATACATCAATTTCCAGAACCCATCCCCACTGACTCATCCCAGCATGGTGACAACATAGTGACTCAAATTACTGAACCTCAGACTAATGCTATAACAAAGAGTCGATAGCACGTTCTATGCAGTAGAAATTACCATGTGACTTTCACATCTGCTTTTGGTTTGGTGTTTAGAGTGAACTGAAATCCTTAAGATGCAAAACTAGGCTTAGTTAAATAGTGACTTCCTGTAAAGCCTAAACTTTTACTAGTTTTTTTTGCATTGTTTTTTGTCTGTAGTCCACAGTGGACCAGTTTTCTGGCAGTCCTATCATGGAAGATACATAAAAGATAGCCAGAACAAACGGAGATTTAATATATGGACTAGCAAATCAGCTGTGGGTTCCAAGTTGCTTAATTTTCGTTCTTGATTCTTTTCACACTGCTTTTCCTGTCGCCATTTGCAAACCGGCTTATTTTGTTTGCACTGAACAGACACCAAAACAATGTTGGATCTAATACAAATAGACAAAAACCTTTCGAAAAGGATCATACGACAATAAAGCGTACATGAATTGGTTCAACCGCTTGCAACCCTGACTCACTGTGTTTTGCAAGAAAACAACTGAGGGGGAATAAGCAAACTAATTACTAAAGATGGAACTGCATTAAACGGCAATTGCTTTGGTGTTGTGTGAGTATGCCGAATTGAAGAGTGGTTCGTAATTACGCGAAAATGCTTTTGAGTGTTTTTCTTCCATTATTGTACAAGTGCTGATAACCAACGAGGAATTAAAATCGCATTTTTATAACGCGCTTCAGCGTTGTGTCCTGGATAAATAATACTCCTCTCAAACATACTTCTTAGATCAAGTGATAACAAATAAGCAAGAAAACGTTCACGTTTCCGCTTCTACTTACCATATCATAGACATTTAGGATAATCGGCTCGTTTGCCATCACTGGGCATCAGGATTTTCTTCCCCTAGCGTCCCTTCTTCTCTCCGGGTTCTCTTCCTTCGGTGCGAGATCCAAACTCTCGCTCTCCTCCTCTTATTATTATTATTGCTGGCTCTTTCTCGAAAGATGTTCACCTTGGTAATTCAACTTCGCAACTCGGTGTAAAAATGTTAGAGTTCCGATGATGTTTTCACCGTCCAACATCTGACTGATTTTGTCCCCCGACAGAGCAGCAGCAGAGGCGGACAGATGAATCTATCGGTTACCAAAACTGACTTGCTAAACCCGGTCGGCTACCGAGGTCGCCGCGAAAAAACACTGACTTTACAGGGAGAATTTTCTCTTCCAGAAGACGCCGCGCCGCGGAAAAAAGTCAAATTCATTTTCCCAAACAAACTGCTTAGTTAAATAACATAATGTAGGTACATGAAAATGAAATTCCCTGTGTAAAAAACGACTTGCTACTCCCTTATTAGCCCCGGCTAACGGTAGCAATGGAGCTGCAGGCAGGATGCGACTGCTGGGAGAAATTGGACGATGTTGAGGAGTAGACCGATGAGCCCATCACTCTATTAAGCTCCCTTAGCGCACTGAGCATTATGGGTGATGTAGTTCATAAGGAAAACGAGCGCCCAACCAAACTACACTGCTAATAAATAAATAAATAAATAAATAAGTAAAGGGAACACTTAAACAACACAATGTAACTCCAAGTCATGCGCACTTCTGTGAAATCAAACTATCCACTTAGGAAGCAACACTGACTGACAATTTCACTTGCTGTTGTGAAAATGAAATAGACAACTGGTGGAAATTATGGGCAATTAGCAAGACATCCCCAATAAAGGAAGGGTTTTTCATTTGGTGACCACAGATCTCAATACCTATGCTTTCTGGATGATTTTTTGGTCACTTTTGAATGCTGGCAGTGATTTAGAATAGAATAGAATAGAATAATCCTTTAATTGTCACACAAGGGGAAATTTGGTTGTAACAGCAGCCAAAAAGACACATATACAAACAAACAGGACACAGGACACAGAACAGAAACATACACAAGTTTTCTTACATATTTAGATTAAGGACCGTGGTTACTATATACAGAGAGTACTGTACAGTTATTAAATTAAATAAAAATAACTACAGATAAGAGGCAAACCAGCTTGTAGTGCGAATCGGTTAATTAACTTATTGCAGTTACAGCGCAGATGTAAACGTCTATGTTTGTTGGGAGCAGTTCTGATTGTACAGTCTGACAGCTGCAGGGAGGAAGGACCTGCGGAAACGCTCCTTCATGCATCTAGGATGGAGCAGTCTGTCACTGAAGGAGCTCTGCAGTTCAGCAACATTTACATGCATGGGGTGGGAGACTCTGTCCATCAGAGATGTTATTTTGGCCAGAGTCCTTCTGTCTCCCACCACCTGCACTGGGTCCAGGGTGCATCCCAGAACAGAGCTGGCCTTCCTGATGAGCTTATCCAACCTCTTCCTCTCAGCTGCCGATAAACCGCTGCTCCAACATACAACACTGTAAAAAATGACAGATGCCACCACAGAGTCATAGAAGGTCTTTAAAAGCGCTCCCTGTACTCCAAATGACCTCAGCTGCCTCAGCAGGTAGAGTCTGCTCTGACCCTTCCTGTAAAGGGCATCAGTGTTGTGGCTCCAGTCCAGTTTATTATTCAGGTGAACACCCAGGTACCTATAAGAGTCCACTATCTCAATGTCCACTCCCTGGATGTTCACCGGTGTCAGTGTGGGGGGGTCTGCGTCCCCGGAAGTCCACCACCAACTCCTTGGTTTTCCCAGCGTTGATCAACAGGTGGTTCTGCTGACACCAGTCAACAAAGTCCAGAGTCCACTGTCTGTACTCTGAGTTGTCCTCACCTGTGATGAGGCCGACTATGGCAGAGTCATCAGAGAACTTCTGTAGGTGGCAGCGTGGGGAGTTGATGGAGAAAATTTCACTCTAGTGGTAGCATGAGACGGAGTCTACAACCCACACAATTTGCTCATGTAGTGCAGCTCATCCAGGATGGCACATCAATGCAAGTTGTGGCAAGAAGATTTTTTTTGTGTCTGTCAGCGTAGTGTCCAGAGCATGGGGGAGACAGGTCAGTACATCAGGAGACGTGGAGGAGGCCATAGGAGGGCAACAACCAAGCAGCAGGACCGCTACCTCCGCCTTTGTGCAAGGAGGAACAGGAGGAGCACTGCCAGAGCCCTGCAAAATGACCTCCAGCAGGCCATAAATGTGCATGTGTCTGCTCAAACGGTCAGAAACAGACTCCATGAGGGTGGCACGAGAGCCCGACATCTACAGGTGGGGGTTGTGCTTACAGCCCAACATCGTGCAGGACGTTTGGCATTTGCCAGATAACACCAAGATTGGCAACTTCGCCACTGGTGCCCTGTGCTCTTCACAGATGAAAGCAGGTTGACACTGAGCACATGTGACAGACGTGACAGAGTCTGGAGATGCCGTGGAGACTGCTGCCTGCAACATCCTCCAGCATGACCGGTTTGGCAGTGGGTCAGTAATGGTGTGGGGTGGCATTTCTTTCGGGGCTGCACAGCCACATGTGCTTGCCAGAGGTAGCCTGACTGCCATTAGGTACCGAGATGAGATCCTCAGACCCCTTGTGAGACCATATGCTGATGCGGTTGGCCCTGGATTCCTCCTAATGCAAGACAATGCTAGACCTCATATTGCTGGAGTTTATCAGCAGTTCCTGCAAGATTCCCCAGACCTGAAATCCAATTGAGCACATCTGGAACATCTTGTCTCGCTCAATCAGCCTGTAGTGTGTTTTTCCACTTTAATTTTGAGTGTGACTCCAAATCCAGATCTTCATGGTTGCTAAATTTGATTTCTATTAATAATTTTTGTGTAATGTTATTTTCAGTACATTCATCTATGTAAAAAACAAAGTATTTAATAAGAATATTTCATTCATTCAGATCTGGGATGTCTTATTTTTGTGTTCCCTGTATTTTCTTTTTGAGCAGTGTATCTTCTAAATAAACAAAGTAGAGTTTACACTATTTAATACAGAAAGTGCAAATGTGGTTTAGGGTGGTTCTTTTAATGTATTTTCCATCCATATAAAAATAAAGCACAATACCCCATATCTTAAAAACAAAGAGAGACAGAGAGAGAACAGTAATTAGGTCATTTTGGTTGAATTAGAGCAAGATCCCACAAGAAACAGGGTGACTCAAAGACTTAAAAATAAATAAATAAAATTAGGTTGCTAAGGGGGTCCACTGGAAATTTAAATTCAGAATATCTGATCAGATTCAGTTCAACAAGAATGGTATATACCGGTACAGTTCTTAACAAATGTATTATACTACCATTCAATCTAAAGTTTATGCCACAGCTGCCTTAAATTACCAGTATTGGTAGTTACCAAAATTATTTTATGTGCTTCTGTAATGGTTAATTCACCAGTACGTGCAACCTCTTTAATCAAAATTGTATTTTTAATGCTAAAATCTAATTATTGTTCTGGTCCACGAATCTACTATTTTTTCTGTTTTTTTGTAAAACAGTAAAGCATGTTATTTTTTTATTAAGATGCCAAATTAAAGTAATCCACTTGCATTCCTGAGCAGAAAAATTAGTTATGCTTGATTCATTTGTAACCAGTGAGTGACCTCAAATTGAGGTATACAAACGTGAATTCAGTTTGCTATTTAAATAATAAATAAAAATATAACTTTTAAACAAGTTTTTAAAAGATTTCTAAAATATTCGTGTTTCCTTGGTTTTAGGACAGATGGTCTGATAAATTTATTAAGCACTGTAAATCACTGGGCTTGATTTTCAGACTTTTTTTTTCCCACCCCCATGCTCCAATATAGATGACAGTATATGATTAATAGCACTGTGCAAGAGATTAAATAGCATGTTGTACTGAATAACTGTTTTCCATTTTGGTGGAACAAGTTTTTAAAGTTTTTACTGAAGTGTTTCCATAGTCTAGTGGTTAACATGTTTGCCTAAAAACATCCCTAGTTTGAGACCAGAGGTTATAACCCTGAATAAACAGTAGGGTTGTAGAAAGGCATCTGGTGTCACATCTGTGCCAAATCAAATATATAGATCCATCTGCTGTGATGACCTCTTGGGTAGTAAGGAAGCAGAGAAAATTTATAATCCTGCTTAAGCAGTATGAACATTTAACATAAAAAAAAATCACCTAAAGTTTTTTTCAGCTCCTCCCTTGGTCACAGTGAGTCACCACAGTGAGTGGGTAGCTTCACATGTGTGATTCGGTGATTTGGCTTATTGGGGTTGGGTAATAGATCAGGAGAGGCTAGGGCCACTTTGCCCTCCATCTCAACACACCCCCTGCAGAAAAGCTCAGACTTTCCTGGCAGCAGATTCCTGCCTTGTCCTGTCCAGTTAATACTTGTTACACATCTGGCAGCATTTTTTGAAGGCTGCCCAGCATGAGACAATCACTGGAGAATCCATCTGCTATTATAATGAAAACAGATGAAGAATCTGCTGTGTTCATTTTCATTTCTGTTGCATGAAACGTGTTAGAATCAAATTTTTGAATTTCTCTTTCTTCAACTCACGAGTTACCAAAACATACAACTTTGTGATCACTGTGCAGCTCATACATTTTATTTACCACTTTTTTTTGTTTGTTGTGACGCTGCTTATCACCTTCAGATACGCATCTCGTATCAGGCACTGCTGAGATTTGTGCCCACTTTCAATGCATCATCTTCTTCTTCCCCACACAGTTTTTACAGTCTAGGAATGACCAGCATTACATTACTATTTGAAATAAATGCACATTCTGTAAGAGACAAAGTCATGAGCTGTCCTGACTGTTTTCTCCCAGCAGTTCCATGAGAATCTCCTGGTTGGAAAACTCCTTAAGTGAAGAGTTCATTTCATCCAGAAGATCCTCTCCCAGCAGGAAGCTTTTTAAATCGTGCAGAGTCAAGCTGATCCGGTGGTCTGTTATGCGATCTTGGGAAAAGTTGTAGGTCCGAATCTTCTCTGATCGTCCTTTAGTGCCGATCTGGAGGACAAGGAAGAGGAGAAGCACTGAATTTAGCAATGTTTGTTACTTCTAGCAACAAAACCACTAATATCTTACCTGTGTTTTCATTATATTTTCACACCAGTCAAATTCAACATCATGTCAGAGTTTTAGAGACAAAGCATCACATCTGTATTTTATGTTGTATTTTATGGTTTCCACCTGTGGTTTACCTTTAACTGTCCTTTGTATCTCACTGTGTCCCACCTGTATTTTCCGCTGGTTGTAGCGTTTGCTGGTCTCCTCTTCCAGCTTCATGCTGTACAGTTTTGCTCTCAGGGACTTCATGGCTTTCTCCCTGTTCTTCAGTTGGGATCGCTCCTGCTGGCATTCCGCGACCACACCTGCCCAACAAACACACAATAAAGATCTACTTTACTGCATTTATCCATCCTTACATTTTCTTCCCCTTATCTAATTCAGGGTCGTGGGGGATCTGGAGGCTATCTACTGGATAAGATACAGGGTACAGCCTG